AGAAAGAAGTCTATCCATGTTTTACGGATTTGTAATAGCTTGTACATAGTAAATTGAAATTTTAAAATTATTATATGGTTTTAGGTTTTAAACTTATTACTTGTTTTGGAATTTTAGAATTATTACATGGTTTTAGCTGTAAATGATTTACATTTTGTAAAACATTCTTAAAAGAACTATTTTTTACTAGCCAAATTTTCATTAATTTTAAATTGTTATTAACATTAAGATATTAAAATTATTACATTTTCTTATTTACTCGCCGTTTTAAATTCGTTATATTCCTTCATTGACAAAACACCATCACGTTCAATTCAATAAACAATTCCCAAAGCAGACATGGCAACGCTGTCCACATTTTTTCAATTTTCACCGCTAGTAGTGCTACGGTGCAAAACCTGCCTAAATCGGTACGACAGGATATGACACGAAAATGGTAAGGGGATTCTAGAATCCTAGGAAAAAAAATACATCGTATATTAGATCTATTCTCGTTTGTGCCATTGATCGTCCCATTCTTTGATCAAAAAAAAAAAAAATTCGAGATAACATGGTAAACGATAGATGATATATTATTGTCAGATGATGTATTATCGTTTCATTGGCAGATCTGCGAGGGGCTAGCGCAATCGGACGAGTGGGAAGTGATTCAACCGAATCCAAAGGCGATGGGCCCGTACGCATACAAAGGTGACCAGTGGGTGGGCTACGACGATGAAAATATCGTCAGGTTGAAAGCCAGATACGTGAACGAGAAGAATTTGGGAGGGATCATGTTTTGGACGATCGACAACGACGACTTCCGGGGCAAGTGCCACGGTCGTCCATATCCCCTGATCGAAGCAGCCAAGGAGGTTCTCTTGACCGACAGCTCGTGAGTATACCAAATCAACGATATCGAGTAGTGCCCACTTAAGCGTCCGCACGTTTGCCCACTTAAGCGTCCACCAATTCTTGAAATTGGGACTTCGCTACCTTACCCGTGTGGCCGCGTGAAACATCAAACAAAAAAGCGATATCAGAATTAGACAAATTTTATATTAAATAACAAATACATATCAAAGTTACATTTATTAATACAATTATAGAATCATCATACTACATGAATTGTTAATTTAACATTGATGGAAATGTAACAAAGTTTCCATTGATAATTATTGATTAACAACTGCTTTTATAGGAATTTCAATGAATTTTCGAAGAATTTAGATTAATTACAATCATTTGCTGATTATTGCTTTATTTAATTTAAAAGTATGTATGCATTAAATTTAAAACAGTTTAAACGTAGTTCAGTTAAAACAAAATGTTAACAAAATGTTAACAAAGCGTTAAACTGCAATCAAACAATACATGTAGTACAATGTTGGAATTTGCCGCACGTATCTGGTATCGGTATAACCTCTTGCGCTGGCAACTGCGGACCATAACGAGTGACCAAACCGTATAAAATAATTCGTCGCTTTCTTTTTGAATTCGTCAATACGATGTCACTGGATAGAAATTATTATTGAGAAGTAATAAATTTATTATTCGTTTTGCTTGGGTTATATTTAAATATATTCAAAACTGAGAAAAATATGAGCCGCCAAATATGATCCAGTTAACCTCTTGCGCTGGCAATTGGTTCGCGGACCATAACGAGTGACCAAACCTTATATCCAATAATTTGTCGCTTTCTTTTTGAATTCGTCAATACGATGTCACTGGATAGAAATTATTATTGAGAAGTAATAAATTTATTATTTGTTTTGCCTGGGTTATATTTAAATATAGTTAAAACTGAGAAAGTATTGCAATTTTGGGACAAAAAGTTCTCCTTTATTTCCTGATGCCAATTTGCACAATACATCCCTCTTAAGCGTTCGTCTTGGTCCCGATGTTTGTGGACATTTAAGAAGGCACTACTGTATAGATATCGACAACAATCTCTTCTCGTCCCTCTGACGAAACACTTTGCAGGAATACCGTTCAGAGGTCGAAGACCACGGTCGACAGCCGGAAGAAACCTCGCGTTCAGGGAGTTCAGAGCGACACCGCTGGAAGGAAAAATTTCAGACGAGGGGGTGGTAAAAGCACCACCACTGTGGCGCCTCCCTCGAGAACCCGAGTGTTCTCTCCAAGGCCAAGCTATCGGACGTTCTCTCGTCCAAAGGCGAGCGTGGAGGGGAAGGAGGAGCAACGATCAGTCGACAGACGATCGTACGACTCGACGTCCTCCGTCGACGAGGAAGAACACTCCGATGGTGGTAACGCGGTTAGGACCGCGAGCAAAAATGGAAGGTCAAGCAGCAAGAGCAAGAGGAGGCCGTCGAAGGATCGATCGAATTCCAATCGGGATCGTAGGAAGCAGATCGGTAACAACGACTCGAGCGAAGGATCGTTGAGTAACAAACTAACTACTCCAGAACCTCCGACGACACCCGATCCTGGAACAGGTAAATTAGCCATCGTTTCCCTCGAAAACGTACAACAACAGTAAAAATTGAACTTAACTTTCGATTCTCGGTTCAGATTTCAAGTGCGAGGACGAGGGGTTCTTCCCGCATCCTCGAGACTGCAAGAAGTACTTCTGGTGTTTGGAGAGCGGTCCAGGAGGTCTTGGTGTGATAGCGCACCAGTTCACGTGTCCCTCGGGTAAGTTAGTCAGATCAATTTAAAAAGTTAGTTAACACATTGTAATGACCGGTGATTTTACTCCAGAAGCTGTCTCACGTCACCGACTATTATTTCGTAATTGAGTATGAAACTGGAACAATCTGAAACTTCAATATATCTTGTTTATACAGAATGAATTTAAATAAAACTTTGTATATTTCTTATATATATATAATATTTTATATATTATAATAATAATATATATTATATTTTGTACATATAATATATCACATACTATAGCAATCACCAACGTGTAGCGGTAGCACAACAGGTTTTTTTCAAATTTGTCATTAAAAAACGTAGCTTTGGTTCTGAGAAATCATCGTGTGCTCGCGCAGGCTTGGTGTTCAACAAGGCAGCCGACTCGTGCGACTATCCCCGCAACGTCATCTGTCCCAAGTCGAAGACGTCTCAGTCGACAGCGTCGACGACCAGAGCACCGATAGTCGCTGCCACCAGTCGCACGACCTACCTGTACAGCACCACGCGTCGACCACCGTCCACCGAGAAAAAACCAGACACGGAGGAGGAAGAGTACGAGTACTACGACGACGAGGACGACGAACAAACGGAAGAAGAAGAAGAAGAAGAAGAAGAAGAAGAA